GGACAGAACAGCCTGGAGGCAGAGAGCTTACGGCCCAATTCTCCACTTGGAGAACGGATAAATGATGACTGTGTCTTTCTTGATTGATGTTTTGTTGCCTTATTCATAATAATGGTAACATAGATAGAGGACGAGTTCTTTTATATAATTTGTATTTGAAGTTGTCGACGTTCGAATTCATTTCTCTAGGAAAACCAGTCACCGTCTGATTCATCTGTCGTTACCAATGCACGCTTGATTCCACTTCATAATTTTTTTTTTTTTTACCACACCCTATGTTAATGCGGCCTCATGGTACACAAAATCAATTGCTAGTATTTTCCAATGGTGATCCGGTTTTTGAAATTCCAATAAAACGAGTGCCATGGTTTATTCTCTTTTAAAACAGTTTATTTCAATCACTCAATGAGTGTGTCCTGTCTCTGGTAAAGTTTATCTTTTGGCTCTATGACTGAAAATTGTCTCAAAAAATAGGGTATTATAAATTCTACTCGTTAAAGTTACCGTATACCTTTAGAGGTTACTCACGTCCAAGGAATGTAGCGCGTCCGATTGTGACTCTGGATAACTAAACCCCATATCAAATTAAAGCTTATAGAGCTGGCTATCAAACTGTACCAATAATTTAGAAATAAAATGAATTGTCCAATTTTTCACGACCTCTAAATGTGAGCGTCTAAATCACCGTTTGAAAGCTACAAATCAAGGGAATTTGTTCGTTTGCCCTAAAAATTTGGGCAGTAGCTAGGTTGACATAGAAACAGTTACTAAAACATGTCTTTTATTTCCGACTATTTGTTTTTCGCGGTAGCATTAACTGTGATAAAGAGAAAAACGAAGACAAACTCGACAGAATGACCTATAAAATTACCTTATACCTACTGGACTGAAACTCCATTTAGACCTACTGCCTTAACATACACAGGTGTACAGACTGTGCAGTGCTGCACTAGCTTTGAAGTTTCCGGTGTTCTCGTAAAGAACACCATTCACCGTGCCGAGGTGTGTCATTGTTTAAACAGGAGGCCAGCTGGGATAGAGAAGAGTTCAGACAAGTCTTCTTCTCAAAGATTGAGCCATACAGCATGCACAGTACAGCAATGAACCATTTTATTGTTTTCATCTGTTTAGTTGCGTCCAGGGAAGCTGCTGGGAGGTAGGGACTTATTTGCAGCATTGAAGAAAAGAAGAAATGAAAAAAAGGCAAAAGAAATGACGCGACATTGGCGTGTAACAAAAACATGGAAAACTTAAGACTTAAACACAACTATATCTTAAAAGTAACGAAAATTTCTTAGAAACTAAGTTAAGGACGAATCTTCTCAATACGACGAGTATTTCGTCGTTCGTAGTCACGAGCCACGCCAAAATATGTCGTTCAAAATTTTTATAAGTTTAATCTGTTCTTATATAGCTCCTTTATTAAAACCAAAGGACGGTCATTTTCTGGCCTAACAGTTTGGTTCTAGCTTATAAAATTTAGCACAATTATTTCATTTTATTCTGGTAAGTTCAGATTGGCCATGTTAGGGAGTCAATCGAAAAAATTCTAGTGGCAAGAATTCGATCACTAGAAAAATGGGGTGGAACTCGCAGACATGAATTGCGCGTTCGTACAAGGAAAAGGAATTTGTGCGGCTCCTCCAGGATGCTTCGACGTTCAACATCCATTCAATAACATTTTCAATTTCTTTGTCTTTTATAGCTGAACTTGAATATGAAGACAGTTCTTAAGGGTTAAATATCATATCGGCCTTCAGCTTTGGCTACCGAACATGTCCAATGCTTGTGAGAATGTCTGTTCGGTTATGCTTCAAGCATAAGTGATGCCTAATCATTTCGGGCATTTATAGCAAAATCCACGAAGTGTTTTGAATTCATTTGCCTGCCAAAGCTCACCAATGAGTATACTTCATCCATTTCTGAAATATGCTTTGTCTTTAAACCTGTTAAACGAAAATGTTTCATGCCCGCGCCACTTTTCATTTTCAGAAGTCCTTTAGCGGTTGACTCGAGCCATGGTTTTAAGGAAAAGCGCTCCCTTCCAACACGCCAGCTTTTGGTTGGCTACTGGGGACAAAATGCTATTGGAACAAGAGTCAGCCGACAATACTGGGAGAAGAACCTGCGCTACTTCTGCAATAATCACAAGTTTGATGTCTACTTGGTGGCATTTGTGCACCGGCTTTTCAGGAATAACAGGAACAGAGGTATTGCCATGACATTAAGAGAGGGTTTAAGAACGACGTTTACAGCAAACGGCAGTAATTAACAAATAAAGAAGCCTCGACTGTGCTCTGCTCTGTTGTAAAGCACGCAGGAAGCGGTAGAGCACGAAGGAAGTGTAGCGGAAAACACAAGACGTAGTCGAGTGTTTTTCGCTACTTCTTGAGTGCTCTACCGCTTTTTAAGTGCTTTACAACAGAACAGAGCACAGTCGAGGCTTCTTTATTTGTTTTATAATAAAGAATCCAAGAATTTTCAAACCAAGCTTTATTTTCCAAACGAGTAAAAGTGGCGTCCGCCTTGCACTGTTCTCTGATAAAGCACGCTAAAATAAGCCAATCACAATCCTTGTTAGATTTGTTCAAATAATTTGATTGGCTAACGAAGCGACAGCTGTCAATCACAAATTGGACTTCTACTAAGCTTTCAGTTTCGAGTAGTTTCGAGCGGCTTTCGAGAGAAAAACGATACCTTCAAAGTTCGCTTGTTAGTTAATTTTTAAATACGGACCGAAAGGCAGGCAAAGGTTTATAGTCCAGCCGTATTGTGGCCCATGAAAACGTGCACTTTTCCAGTGGAAATTACGAAACGAGGAGCTCAAAGCTTGCGGATGAAAAGGCGAAATGCCGAGTTAAATTTGAACGGAGTTACAGTTATTTACGGCTTGTAGTCGCTTGCAGCAAGATTGCCCGAACTAGCGTAAAAGTTAGAAAGACTACACTCAGTACACTGCTCCTACCGGTTCTACTCCGAACACAGAAGAGAATATCAGAGCAAGCTTTGTACTGAGCACTCGTCGGTTCACTTCGCTGTGATGACCGGAGAACGAGCGTTACTACACTGCATGTAAGTGTTGTTTGAGCAATTGAGCATTTTATAAAAATAAAGCTTCTCATCATAAACAGAGACAGTTCAATTGTTGTTTTCTGTCATTGCTTTACTTCTTAAGTATAATTTCGTAACAAATATAATGTCTTTTATCAAAGCACTGTTTAGGTTGAGAATCTGTTTATTTCGCTACGTGTTTTGTCGGCGGGAATCCAGCAAAACTTGTTTTTTAGTACAGTTTTAACACTACTGTTGCTAACAATGGTCTCCGTGAGTCATATTTACTGCAGACAAATAGCTCGTTTCCACTGCGTTTGTCTGAGTCACAGGAGATAATTAATTTGGGTCAAATTTGTCAAAATTCCGAAGCAAAAGTTTAAAGCCAACTTACCGTCATCAACCCGTGCTCCGTTCTCTAATAAAGCACGCTGTTTTAGCCAATCAGAGCGCGTGTTATATAGAAACTTTTTTATAGTCACCTCTGATTTTTTTTGTTTTTTTTCTCGTCCAAAAAAAATCCAAGACAAAAGTAAAAAATTTACTATTAATTCACAGCGAATACAAATATTTTTTCATTTTAGTGCATAAATGGCTAGATGGTAAAAGTTAATCTTTGCGGTTTGTCACAAACGTCTTTCTTAACTGACCCCTGAAGAAAATAATTATGAGGTAAACTCTACTAGAAATTCGTATGAACAAGTTTTTTAACCATCTAAGCTTCATAGAAACCACTCATCCCGCTGCGAAAAAAAGATTAAAGTAGAAAACATTTAGACCTGATCGTGTTGTGGTGGACGGTTTTGTAAATATGATTCAGAGTATGAGTATGAAATGGAACATGCTTTGAAATGTATCCGAAACATTTCGTCGTTTTACACAGAGTTTACATTACGGTCGGTTAAAATAAATTTCCACCTAGAGCTTGGCGGCCTAAACGGAATAGTTGAAAGTGAGCGAATCTAAACAGTTTGTTACACCAATCTACAATAAGAATTTCACTTACACTTGACCAAAGGAGGAGGCTATGTTAGTCTAGATGGGTTCCCTGACACTTAGGTGGCAGCCAGTTTTACCCTGACATCCCCTCCACATTTGGTGCAGACAGTCTTAGATACCTTAAAGGGCTGGAAAGAGAACAATGTAAAATAACAATAGCTAATATTAAGCTATATATTTTCATCGCACACTGACCAGACCGAATTCCTGGAATGAATTTTGCCCATCACTGCAGCTACGCACCGGACACCCAGAACCCTGATGCTTTTGAGTGCGCTACTATCGGCGGTGGGATTAGAGATTGTCAGAAGCTTGGTAAGAAAATGTTGATATCTCTTGGCGGGGATACCTGTGATGGCAGCCTTGGGAGTGCGGAAAACGCAAAGAAACTTGCATACTACATATGGAATATGTTCCTTGGAGGAAAGGACATGCAGGATAAAAGGCCATTTTTGTGGTACGGAACAATTTAGGTCATTGTAGATATTCAACTGGTTACAGAAAGCTTATACATATAGAATATCGTTCTTGAAGATGATTTCTAGTCCGTACTGCGCAGTCTCGGCACCCTAATGTTTCTCGACGGAATGCGAATCGATGTTGTTCGTTGCGAACCACATACCTTATCTTTGAGACCTTTCAAATTCTTTTTTCAACAGCTTCATTGATTTTTACAACTGCGAAGTTGTCTCATCAAGTGATATGAGAAAGAACGAAGCATAAAGTCTCGACCGCTTCACATCCATGATGGCGGTTGTTTTGAAACCTTGAATTTACTTCTTGTAAGTTGTTGCGAAATGTTTACATTTTGGTATGTCTTACATGCAACAAAACAAAAAACGCAAACAAACTCTTGGACTTGCTGAAAAGTCTACCCTGAAATTCATGAGGTCGACTTGTGGCAAGTCTAACAAACTTTAGAGACTGCACAGTACGGACTGGAAATCATCTTTAACTATGGTTCGTTACACATTTGAAAGCGAAGATCAACTTGGATTTGAGGGACTGATGAAGGTAGAGAATTGGTTTTTCCGCTATCAATCATTTTCAGTTTTCAAATCTCAGAGCTCAGCTTGATCGATTGAAAAACAAAAAAAAGAATGAAAAATGTTATTTCAGCGACTGACAGTTAAAATCCAAATTTCTGAAGCTTTAGCAGTCTCGGTTACTTGTATAAATCCCGTTCAGTTCTTAATTTAGCTACATGTCATGCTGTAGTCCGGCGAAACCTAAGAGACAAAAATAAATGACGGAAAAAATGTAGAGCAATATTACATACTAAAAAAGATGCATAGTGAGCTTTTTTAATGTTTTTCTATCGTTCATGACACGATGATGCTTTTCCATACATTAAAACGGTACTTTTGTACGGTTGTAGGTTGGTGACTTTTGTACTGGTATTATAGTAATAAACATTTGGCTTATTTTGCAACAACCAACAAACATTTTATCCAAGCAAATTAACAAGACGAAGCAAGAGGGGTCGGGATATCAAACTTTACACGCTTAAGAGAGCCAAACACTCGCGTCAGGCCTGTACCGGTATCTGTAGTAAATATGATATTTTCCTCTCTACAGGACAGTAATGGACGGTGTCGATCTGGATATCGAGATAGGAAGTCATAAATACTACCCAGACTTTGTTCGTGAGATGAGGCGGCTTATGAATACAGACAAAAGTAAACAGTACCTGATCACAGCTGCTCCCCAGTGTCCCTTTCCTGATAAATGGATGGGACCTCAGATACAAGGCTCTGCACTAGAGGGTGTGTATGTAAACTGCTGGCAGTCTGTTTTTCTTCGAAATTCAGGAGGGGTTATGGGGCCAGACGCTTTCGTTAGTCTTGAGGGAATGGGACGAGATATGGACATACTACTCTTGTCTCGCCTTCTTCCCTACTCAGCCACAGCCATACCGCCCTTTAATTTACGCGATGGCTAAGTGACCCTTAGAGAAAAAACCGGCTGTCACCAGACTGGTTTGTATACAGTCAATCGTTCAATCCATTCATGCATTCATTCAGCCATTCATCCATCCGTCTTCCCGTCTGTTCGTTCGTCACCCCAACAACCAACCAACCAACCGACCAAATATTTTTGGTGTTAACTGAATACTGACAAATTGCCCACTTACAACCCACAAAGGAATGAAAACAATAAACACGGAAGCTAAACTATGGAAATGTTTTGAAAGGATCAAGAGGCTATCTCTCCGACGATTTGCTCCGAAAAGATAATATAATGTTCAAATCATTGGCAGTTAAAACGTGAAACGTTAAATTGGCTTTACTAGAATGGTAGGAACGAGGAATGAAAGAAGAAATAAGGTACCAGGCTGTAATGACGTTGCTGTTTTTGTGTTCATGTTTGACAGAATATGGCAACGAATTTGACTACTTGTTTATTCAGTTCTACAACAACTACTGCTATCCTGGAGATCAATATTTTCTCCCTGTGATGGACACTTGGTTAAAGTGGGCACGGGGTATTCCCAATGGCCCTCTTGTTGTCCTTGGTCTGCCAGCAGGACCCGAGGCTGCTGGGAAGCCGCATTACTATTTCCCGCCAGATAAACTGGCTGCCGTCTACAAGGTATTATTCATTGATTAAAATCAAATCTCCTATGGTTACCTGTGAAACCGTCATTTGCATTGTTGAGGAAAGCCCATAGGGTAAGTAACAATGGACCTCATATGTTGGCAAAATGAGAAATCCCGCAATTCACACACTGCGAGTGGACATTTTCTGACGTAACAGTGGNTTGAAAGAAAATGCGTATTGTTGAATATAAATATAAAATGTTGAATTTAAATATATGTTGTTGAACATAAATATAAGTTGTTGAATATGAAGGTACAAGTTGTTGAATTTTGCAACATTTGGCTAACCATAAATGAGTGTGTCCTGTCTCTGTCATTAAGGTTACCGTATAACTTTAGAGGTTACTCACGTCCAACCAATGTAGCGCGTCCGATTGTGACTCTGGATAACTAAACCCCATATCAAATTAAAGCTTATAGAGCTGGCTATCAAACTTTACCAATAATTTAGAAATAAAATGAATTGTCGAATTTTTCACGACCTCTAAATGTGAGCGTCTAACTCACCATTTGAAAACTACAAATCAAAGGGAATTTGTTCGTTTACCCTAAAACTTTGGACAGTAGCTAGGTTTACATAGAAAAAATTACTAAAACCTGTCTCTTATTTCCGAATATTTGTTTTTCGCGGTAACATTAGCTGTGATAAAAAGAAAAACGAAGACAAACTCGACAGAATGACCTATAAAATTACCTTATACCTACTGGACTGAAACTCCATTCAGACCTACTGCCTTAACATACACAGGTGTACAGACTGTGCAGTGCTGCACTAGGTTTAAAGTTTCCGGTGTTCTCGTAAAGAACACCGTTCACCGTGCCGAGGTGCGTCATTGTTTAAACAGGAGGGCAGCTGGGATAGAGGAGAGTTCAGACAAGTCGTCTTCTCAAAGAGTGAGCCATACAGCATGCACAGTACAGCAATGAACCATTTTATTGTTTTCATCTGCTTAGTTGCGTTCAGGGAAGCTGTTGGGAGGTAGGGACTTATTTGCGGCATTGAAAGGAAAGAAGAAATGAAAAAAAGGCTAAAGAAATGACGCATCATTGACGTTTAGCAAAAACACGGAATACTTAAGACTTAAACACAAATATATCTTAAAAGTAACGAACATTTCTTAGAAACTAAGTCAAGGACGAATCTTCTGTTTCGTCGTTCGTAGTCACGAGCCACGCCAAATATGTCGTTCACAATTTTTAGAAGTTTAATTGTTCTTATATAGTTCCTTTTTTAAAACCAAAGAACTGTCATTTTCTGGCCTAACAGTTTAGTTCTAGCTTATATCATTGAGCACAATTATTTTATTCAATTCTGGTAAGTTCAGATTGGCCATGTTATGGAATCAATCTAAAAAATTCTAGTGGCAAGAATTCGATCATTAGAAAAATGGGGTGGGACTCGCAGACATGAATTGCGCGTTCGTACAAGGAGAAGGAATTTGCGCGGGTCCTCCAGGATGCTTCGACGTTCAACATCCATTCAATAACATTTTCAATTTCTTTGTCTTTTATAGCTGAACTTGAATATGAAGACAGTTCTTAAGGGTTAAATATCATATCGGCCTTCAGCTTTGGCTACCGAACATGTCCAATGCTTGTGAGAATGTCTGTTCGGTTATGCTTCAAGCATAAGTGATGCCTAATCATTTCGGGCATTTATAGCAAAATCCACGAAGTGTTTTGAATTCATTTGCCTGCCAAAGCTCACCAATGAGTATACTTCATCCATTTCTGAAATATGCTTTGTCTTTAAACCTGTTAAACGAAAATGTTTCATGCCCGCGCCACTTTTCATTTTCAGAAGTCCTTTAGCGGTTGACTCGAGCCATGGTTTTAAGGAAAAGCGCTCCCTTCCAACACGCCAGCTTTTGGTTGGCTACTGGGGACAAAATGCTATTGGAACAAGAGTCAGCCGACAATACTGGGAGAAGAACCTGCGCTACTTCTGCAATAATCACAAGTTTGATGTCTACTTGGTGGCATTTGTGCACCGGCTTTTCAGGAATAACAGGAACAGAGGTATTGCCATGACATTAAGAGAGGGTTTAAGAACGACGTTTACAGCAAACGGCAGTAATTAACAAATAAAGAAGCCTCGACTGTGCTCTGCTCTGTTGTAAAGCACGCAGGAAGCGGTAGAGCACGAAGGAAGTGTAGCGGAAAACACAAGACGTAGTCGAGTGTTTTTCGCTACTTCTTGAGTGCTCTACCGCTTTTTAAGTGCTTTACAACAGAACAGAGCACAGTCGAGGCTTCTTTATTTGTTTTATGATAAAGAATCCGATAATTTCCCTACGCATTCGGCTGAATTTTCAAACCAAACTTTATTTTCCAAACGAGTAAAAGTGGCGTCAGCCGTGCACTGTTCTCTGATAAAGCTCGCTAAAATAAGCCAATCATAATCCTTGTTAGAATTATTCAAATAATTTGATTGGCTAACGAAGCGACAGCCGTCAATCACAAACTGGACTTCAGCTAAGCTTTCAGTTTCGAGTAGTTTCGAGCGGCTTTCGAGGGAAGAACGATGCCTTCAAAGTTCGCTTTTTAGTTAATTTTTAAATACGGATCGAAAGGCAGGTAAAGGTTGATAGTCCAGCCGTATTGTAGCCCATGAAAACGTGCACTTTTCCAGTGGAAATTACGAAACGAGGAGTTCAAAGCTTGCGGATGAAAAGGCGAAATGCCGAGTTAAATTTGAAAGGAGCTACAGTTATTTACGACTTGTAGCCGCTTGCAGCAAGATTGCCCGAACTAGCGTAAAAGTTAGAAAGACTACACTCAGTACACTGCTCCCACCGGTTCTACTCCGAGCACAGAAGAGAATATCAGAGCAAGCTTTGCACTGAGCACTCGTCGGTTCACTTCGCTGAGATGACCGGAGAACGAGCGTTACTACACTGCACGTAAGTGTTGTTTGAGCAATTGAGCATTTTTATAAAAGTAAAGCTTCTCATCATAAACAGAGACAGTTCAATTGTTGTTTTCTGTCATTGCTTTACTTCTTAAGTATAATTTCTGCCTTCGTAACAATTATAATGTCTTTTATCAAAGCACTGTTTAGGTTGAGAGGCGGGAATCCAGCAAAACTTTTTTTTTAGTACATTTTTAACACTGCTGTTGCTAACAATGGTCTCCGTGAGCCACATTTACTGCAGACAAATAGCTCGTTTCCATTGCGTTTGTCTGAGTCACAGGAGATAATTAATTTGGGTCAAATTTGTCAAAATTCCGAAGCAAAAATTTGAAAACCAACTTACCGTCATCAACCCGTGCTCTGTTCTCTGATAAAGCACGCTGTTTCAGCCAATCAGAGCGCGTGCTATATGGAAACATTTTTATAATCACCTCTGATTTTTTTTTTTTTCGTCTAACAAAAAATCCAAGACAAAAGTAAAAAATTTCCTATTAATTTACAGCGAATACAAATATTTTTTTCATTTTAGTGCATAAATGGCTAGACGGTAAAAGTTAATCTTTGCGGTTTGTCACAAACGTCTTTCTTAACTGACCCCTGAATAAAATAATTATGAGTTTAACTCTACTAGAAATTCGTATGAACAAGTTTTGTAACCATCTAAGCTTCATAGAAACCAGTCAGCCCGCTGTGCAAAAAGATCAAAGTAGAAAACAATTAGACCTGATCGTGTTGCGGTGGACAGTTTTGTAAATATGATTCAGTGTATGAGTACGAACTGGAACATGCTTTGAAATGTATCCAAAACATTTCGTCGGTTTACACCTAGTTTACATTACGGTCGGTTAAAAGAGATTTCCACCTAGAGCTTGGCGGCCTAAACGGAATAGTTGGAAATGAGCGAATCTAAACAGTTTGTTACACCAATCTACAATAAAACTTTCACTTACAATTGACCAAAGGAGGAGGCTATGTTAGTCTAGGTGGGTTCCCTGACATCAAGGTGGCAGCCAGTTTTACCCTGACACCCCCTTCACATTCGGTGCAGACAGTCTTAGATACCTTAAAGGGCTGGAAAGAGAACAATATAGAATAACAATAGCTAATATTAAGCTATATACTTTCATCGCACACTGACCAGACCGAATTCCTGGAATGAATTTTGCCCATCACTGCAGCTACGCACCGGAC